AAAAAAAAAAAAAAAGTACACATCATTCATTCTGTTTGGCCATATATCTGTTTACAGTAGAGTATCCATAATACTACTCTGACTTTCCTCTATAATTTTAGCTAAAGGTTAAAAAGTATTCTGCTTTTTAAGTGAGTTTTTCTCCATGGCGTTCATTCATCATATGAATGAATCTTCGTAAAATCCGATTTACATGTAATCAGAGTCACTTTGTCTGGGTACCTAAAGCAGAGAGTTGATGACTGAAAGTAAATTCAGCTAGCCATTTACCATTCTTCAGTTCTAAATGGCAGACTGACTGCATATAGAGATCTCAAGCCATATTATATCACAATCTTTGAAGCTAGCCTTTTCCTAAAACTAAACTTGAAAACTACATTGAACTTGTTTACCTAGGTAAGTGTAGCTCACACAAGCCTTTCCTTGAGCTGGAAAAACAGACTATTCTGAATTTTAAAATGCATTTGTTGATTGTATGCCCTCGTATATGAGGATAAAGCCAGGTTTGAGGGGGACAGAACATCACCCCCTCCTTTCCTTTGCTCTTCCTAGATGGGATACATACAATGAGACATTTCATTCTGATGGTCTTCCAGTTCAGTTGCCAGTCTATGCTGTTGCCTCATGTAGGCTCACACTCAGTCTAACAGGTTGTTGGTGAATTGAGAGAGAATTACAATATACATTTTCCTTTTTGTTTCACAGGGTATATGGGTCTCTTATCACCCTGTTTTTTTTTTTTTTTTTTTTTTTGCTGTTTGGTTGGTTTAAATGTCAGGTATACTTTTGCATTGCAGGATTCCTTGGGTTATCTCCAGTTTTATACTTTTGCCCTCATTCTTCACTGTGCTCCCTTATACCTGGCAGAGTGCATAGCTCGGCCTGTCTATCTTTTCCTGACTCCTACCTTGTCTGCCATTGACTCATTTTGGTCACCAGGTACCACGCAGAGAACAAAAATGTCACTTTGGGGGAATACAAGTTTGGACCGCTTTTCGTAAGGTTATGCTACGAGTTGGATCTTGAGGAATCTGCAGTAGAGCTCATCAAAGACCAGGTAGGTTACTGTTTGCTTTCTCTGAAGTGGGATTTCCTTGTGCTGGAGAGCAGGAATTTTCAGGGGTGCTAGAAAAGGCATCTCCTATGCACATTCTTCCCGGAGAAAATAAATTACCCCTTCCCTGCATTTTTAAAGTTTCCATGGAGTTGGAGCCTAAGAAGAGATATAGATCTCTTTACACACAGGCTTCCTCTCTTTTCAGGAACCTTTAGTAGGAGGTAGTATGACAGGTGGCTATTTGGAGGTGGCTTTCCCCTTTGCCCCCTCTCCTAACCCCAAATGTTTTTCTTTCTTTACCTGTGCTGTGCTCCTGTTTTATATTTTTACTTCTTATTGAAGGCAGTGTTGTAAAGTGCTTTTCTATTTTTAAGATACCTTGATCTCTTTCCTGATTTTCTTTTCCTAGAAACAAAGATAACAAAGATTGTTTTTGTGATTATTAATTGAATGTTTACTATATCAGAGCCTGTGCTTAAATTAAGCACTTCATAAATTTTATCTCACTTTTTTCCCACTGTGGCCCAGGTGAGGTAGATACTAATATTGTTGGCCAGTTTATGAGGGAATTGGGGCTCAGACATTGTAAATTCATCTCTGATCAGAAACAATTGTTCAGTTTTGGGGCAGGGGCTGGCCACCAGGGACATTTTGGTATTTCTAGGTACCACTACAACAAAATTGCCCTGCCTCTCCCTATTTTTTTTCTTTTTTTTAATAATATAACAGTTTATTTTTACATCATTTTGTACATTTTTTTTATCTCAATTGTAATCCCAATGGGTTTCCCCCCCTCCTTATTTTTTACGTAAAGTGTCCTGCCCCTGGTGGGACTGTTCATTCGTGGCTTGCCCCTCTTTCACAGGCTTACCTATATTAGAAAGATGACTGCATTGTGTTAGGAAGCAAAGAAAAGCTGCTTTCAGGATTGTTCCTAGTGAGCCTTTGTTTTCCCCTAAAAGCAGAACTATTCATATGTATTTACGTTTGAGTTTATATGTATTAAAAATCCTAAAGGATATATATTATAAATGACTTTATCATTCCAGGGCAAAATTGTAAGAAATTCTCACTTTTTACTTTATTTATTTTTGTAGTATTTGACTAATGAGAAGCATTATGCTATTTGTAATTAAAGGACAATGAAAATCTCACTGTGATAAGTCTTAGCTAGAAGTAGGATGATAAAAACAAACAAAAAGAAGAGGGAAGAAAACTTTTTGTTTTTAACTACCTGTGCATGAACCACCTGTGTGCGAGGACGCTTTCTGCATGGTATAAACTGCAGAACCAAGTAACATAAGCCCAATCCTGCCCCCGCCAGTGTAGGAGCCACCAGCCACTTGCACTTCCAGAGCCTTAGACAGTGGCCTCCCACATTTACATGTGCTGTAAGTGTAAACTACATGATGCATTTTTTAGATACTTGGTATTAAAAAGAGACTAAATAATCTTCCAGATTTTTTATATTAGTGATATGTTGAAATTGTGTTTTGGGTTTAGTCAGTGGCATAACATGATTAAAACTGATCTCATGTATTTTTACATTTTAAAAGGAGGCTACTGAAAATTTAGAACTCACACACTGCTCACGCTTGTGGCTGGCAGTGTCTTTTACTGAGCAGGACTTCCTGTCTTCCCGACTCACGTGGAATAGAACTCAGTCCTGCCTTTGACCTCCGGGCTTGGGTGTTTGTCTTGGCACCTGCCTCTCCCACCCCGGGCTCACTCCATGCCTTGTTCTTTCTCTTACACACTGTGTCCTTACCTTACACTAGATTGTTCTATATCGCAGTCACTGGGACTTGCTCCTTTGCTTCAAGGAAGTTTCCTCTTTTCAGAGAGCCTTCTCTGCCCACCTTGCCTGCCGCATTTTCTCCCTTCCTTTGTCCTGTTTCATTATTTTTCATAGCCCACAAAGAAATTTGAAATAATATATGTCTTTCTTTTTTGGCTTGTTTTACTCACTTGTTCATTGTCTCACCTACTAGAATTTAAACTTTACTTGGTGGCAGCCTCTCTAGACTTTAGGGCAGGGTGTGTATCTTGTTCATCTTAGTTTATTCTATTCACCTAGAACAGGGTCTGCATAGCAGCTTTTAGAAAGGAACAAACTTGAACAAGGCATTTAATGGCATATTTGAATATTACATGTCATACTACCATAGCATAGAAAATGTTAAGGAAATAACATTGAAAACCTTTTTTAAAATGTTTTTGTGACTTGTTATTCACAGTCTAACAATAAGTATATTTTAATAATTATATGACTATGATTATAATTGGTGATTTTTAATAATCTTTACTATGTAACAAATTATTTCAAAAGTCAAATAATCAACTGTGTATTGTTTGTTTGCCCAAAGGGGATTATAGTTCATAAGCCCTCCCCGCTTCCTTAGTCTTCAAAATTACTTATGGCTGTAATTTCATGTTAGTTTGCTGCCACCCAGGATGTGGGAGCCCTGCCAGGGTTAATTGGCATGTTTCTTTTCTCTTGAGCATGGCAGAGCCACATCTCATAAAGATATTCTTCACTGTATTTCTGAGGCTAGAGACTTCTTGCCAGACCTCCTGCCTCTGTTCATTGTGCCCCTTGCTAAAAGCACAGTAGCTGGGAGAATGAATAGTATTTTGATTTATTTTGAGAAATAAACTCTTAGTCTGTCAGAGATTTCTTAGGGAATTTAAGAGGCCAGATGAGCATATTATTAGCAAAAATAAGTCCTAGACAGATAAAATGCAGGGTAAGTAACTACCTTAATAAATTTCTACTTTTAACTAAACTCTATTGTTTTTACCCATTAGCATTTACAAGGTTTCTTCTCAGATTCCACATCTTTTAACATTTTGATGGATATATTATTTATCAAAGGCAAATACAAGAGTAAGTATTGCATTTGCTTGCTGAAATAATCTGCTGTCTTTGCTGGTGTAACAGTTGGGAAAATAGTGGACCATGCATAAATGAGGCTGATAGTCCTGTTGAATGACTAAATAGCTGAAGTCTTATTCTTTAAATGTGAAAACATTGTTGCATCACCAGTCATGCCTTCAGCTGAACACCCCAGATTTTACTTATGCTAAAGTTATAATAGGTATTAAAATATTAGTTCTTCTTTTATGGCCTGACCATTTATTTTGAAATATAGTTTATTTCAAATGACCTTGACAAAATAGCTTTAATTGTGCTGTAGTACACTTTCCAGTAGATGGTGCTGAACAGATTAGCACTCTGGGGATGAACAGTGGAAGACTGGGAACTCACTGGAGTGTGTCTAATACTACTGGCCCAATCCGGACTTTTGACAGGTGCTTTAGAAGTACTGATTGAGATGAAAAACCAAGATGTGAAGTTCAGCAGAGATACTTATATCCTTGCTTTTGCAATTTGCTACAAACTGGTAAGACTGTCTTGCCTTAACATTTAGAGCATTGTGGATAGTATTTGAGAGAAGATTTTTTTTTTTCCTGCAAAGAAATGTCACTTCCTCTGAATTCTTCCTATCTGGTACAGATATACCCATTTTAAATGTGTTCATTTTTAGAAAACTCATGTTAGCTACACTAGATAGTTTTATCATGGGAAAAGCAACTTTATTATCTTTTATCCTTTTCTGGCAGCTGTGTACATAGTGAGAACATGAAACTGCCAAGTTCAAAGTCTACTTTCTTGCTTCTGGGATCAGGCTCAACTACATTAAACCGGTCTTCTCCCATGGAAATCTTACCGTCCTTCATTGTCAAGCTCAATGGCTACTTTGTCCTCATCAGTAAATGTTTCTGAGTCCCCTTAGTTGGACACAATCGCTCCATCCTCCACTATCCCTTAATCATGTTCTGTTTATATCACATATGTGGCAGTTATAATACTGCCTGATGTGTACTGAGTTGATGCTCATTTCATCCTCCTCACTGGTTTGTTAACTCCTTGAGTCATTTTTTTATGCCAGCACCTAATACAGTGTCTGGCACACAGTCAACTTTTAATAAATGGATATAACATTAAAATGTACTCTGAGGACAGAGGGCATGATTCATAAGTCCTGATGTTGTTTCTGTGTCAAGACTGTTTCTTACAGACGAAACTGTCTTCATTATTGAAAGAATGAATGAATGAGTGAGTGAATGAATGAATGAATAAAATAGCAAAATAATCAGAATTTAGTGCATGACTGTCATCATTCATGCTATTGAAACTTTGGAAACTTGGATAAGAAACTTTTTATGCTGCAAATGAAGGAACATCAAGCAAGGTAGAAGATGGGTCTTTGAAAATGTTCCTGAGGAGTATAGAGATACCAGCTTTCCAAACAAGAGGATAATGGGTTACAGTCAAAGAAAAACCAACCTGGAAATTTAAAAACTTTAAGTCTAGTGTCAGTTTTAGCTCAGATTGCTTTGAAGTGGTTACTTAGTGGAATTCAGGGGTCAGCAAACTATATAAAAGACTAGGGAATAAATATTTTAGGCCTTGGGGACCAGATACAATCTCTGCCACATTGGGTTTCTGTCATATATTATTCATTTTTGGTTTCACAAACCATTACAAGTATAAAAACTATGTTTGCTATGCTCTCCATTGAGCCTGAAACTCATCGTTTACTGACCCTTGATTATTTAGACAACTTTTCCAGCCGTAGCATTTTATGATCTAGGGAGCAAAAAGCCACACAACACTTATGCATCAGTTGTGATAATCTAGTTTCCTGAAGAGAGTACACTCAAGTGGAGAGAATTTAATTTTACTACTTAGAACCAGAGGACCTTTCTCCCTGGACGTGTGTCCAAGAATAACTTGTTTCACTGAGTGGAGACCAGAACTGAAAACTTGAACTGGCCGGTCATTAAAAATTCCAGTCCATTCTAGGGAGTGTCCTTGCATCAAGTTCAGATTTCACTTAAGGATTTCAGTTGCGAGTCTTGTCATGACAAATATATAGGGAGAGGTCGGGCTGGTGCTGTGCTCATAAACCCAGTCTACCTACAGCATGTACCAAGGAAGAAGGTTCAGTTTTTCAGTTTCATTTCCATGGAATTCTTTGACAACTTATATTCAGATTACTATTCCTGTTTTCAAATATTTGACTTACTTGCGTATTTTCAAACTGGAAATTCCATCAGGAAAAATTTGCTAGTGTTGTCAGATTTTACTCTGTTCTGTAACATATGAACACGCTGACTCTTTGAGCTTGTACATTGTGGTTTCCCATGCCTAGAAATCAGGCAGCATAGATACTGCAGGTAAAAACTGCCTCAAGTCAGAAAATTGGCAAAGAGCTTAAAAATAAAGTTAATTTAGATTTGAACGTATAAATGTATATGTATGTATCCATGTATACATACATGTGTGTATGTATACACGTGTGTATAATATAATTATTTATTTTATATATTTTTTACATCATTCTCTTTTTTTTTTAAGATTTTATTTATTTATTTTTGTGTAGAGCTGGGAAGTAGGCTGGAGGTATGGGTGGTGAGAGGCTTCACCAGAGACAGAGAGGGGAGCAAAACAGACAGATCCATGAAGTACATTGCTGAGGGGAGCAGTGGGCGAGGCAGGAGAGGTCGCTGTGTCATGTGGGCTAGCTCCCTGCTTGGGGATCCAGCCCAGGCCCTTGCAGTGAGAGCTCTGAGATTTAACCCCGAGGCCACCATTCTTCATTTTTGTACAAGATATGCTTGCTCGGTACAGTCCCCCTGAAAGTCCCACCATCAGTTCACCCATGTACCATCATAATAGTCCCTTGTTCTTTTCCCGCCCTTATTTTGATCCTATTCCTTTCTCCCCACTTGTAGAATTTCTGGTTTATAGTCTCTTGTTGATTTTGATTTCTCCTTTATTATAATTCCTTTTTTCCCCCTCTGATCTCTTATGTGTGTACACACACACACATACACACACACATTTAAAATCTGGTCTGTTTGTAAATAGTCGTCATAGGAGGCTTATTCTTTTAAATGACTTGAGATAGGCTCTGGGAAGTTCTTACAAAAGGAAATCTGAAATACTGAGCACTGTTAATCATTTTATTAAACTTAAACGGTTCCTGATATTTATCTGTTGTTTTAAGGATAAAATAAGTTTTGTTTATAGTCTTCTATAAAGGGGGAAACCGTTAACTTGCAAGGCAGTTCTCCTGAACATTTTTTAGTTCCACAGAATGGAATGTTCTCCCTACTACACTGTTTACAATGGGAATCAGCAAATGCCAGGAACAGAGTAGTAAAAAGACAAAGAAGTGAAGCCCAAACACAAAACCAGAGCAGGACAATCACACAATGGGGACAGGTTCCAAGACAATAAAAGGGTGCACATGGGGCTTGTATTTACTATCAGGTGAACTGCTCTCCATATTTACATTTAATTGGCCCTGTCTCTTAGAAATATACACAGGAAGAAAGGAAAATTTGAATGTGTTTTTGTGAATCTGTTGCTTTGCAATACTGACATCAAAACTAGGACAATTCACTGAGATTCCAATTTAGCAGGATATAAATAACATCACTGCAAAACCTACGTGACCTGATCCCCCTTCCTTGTTCCACATCCCCACCCCCAGAGGCTGGACCTCACTGCTGTGGTCTGTCCCCCCAGTATCACACAAGTACCATGACTCTTACTCACTGAGCAATCCTGTCTCCTCCCAGAACAGCCCTGAGTCTTTTAAGATCTGTACTACGTTAAGAGAAGAGGCCCTAATCAAAGGAGAGGTCCTCTCCAGAAGAGCATCCTGTTTTGCTGTGGCATTAGCTCTGAATCAGGTATGGCTTTGGGGGACACATAGGGAACGGGCAGCACAGGAAATTAGAAATTACTCCTTTTCTTTGTTCTTGCTTTTATTTTATCTTTGTTCCTTACCGACTCTATCATAAAAGGTACCACTGCCCTTGGTACCATGGCACCCTACATTGATATATATGCCTCCGAAGTATGTTTCCATTTGTGGTTGACAATCTGACATGCATGGCTGTGTGCAGGGGGCTGGCCAAGATCCCATGGAGAATCTGGGAAGCTGGACGTTAAGAGAATTTCTCAAATATTTAGAATAAAAATTTCAGATAGTCTGTTTACTACATAATAGTCACAGAAAATAACTTAACTCTCCCCAAAGCTGAATGCACCCTAGATGAATGAGAACTCCTGAGTCAGCCTTGTAGAAGTGGGTCCATCATATATTCCTGGTTACACTCAAATAGGCTTATTTGCAAGAGGTTGTAGGCGTCTTTTAGCCTGCCGCCTCACTGGATAAATGGCAGCAGCTGAAACCCAGGGAGGAGAGAGGACCTCCCTGATGTCACACCTCAGAGAAGGTCCAGGAACTTAGCCACTTGATAAGTCCCTCCCAACATGGCCTGTTCCAGGACAGCAAAAATAATAGCTATGACTGGAGAACTCCTATTTATCATTAATTACACATGACAGTGTCAAAGTGATTCATTTCATTAATCACCGAGAAAGTCACTGAAGGACCAGGACTTAAGAATTTACACAGTTACAGTTACCAACTAGGCGATTGCTTCCTTCTCTTAGTCTGTCGTAGTAAGTCAGAGGAGACGAATGAAAGTCTCTTCTTAGGAATATATCTGTTTTTCTTTGTAACTCCTGTAATTTCCCTTTAAGTGTGTTGTAAGTTATACACACACACGCACATATACATATGGTGTGTATATGTCAGTGTTAGAACTCTTATATCGGTATTGTCATCTCTCACTATAGCATTATAAAATACTATTCTTGGTCTTATTTAATGCTTTTGCTCTAAATTCAAGCATGTTATTATTATTTTGTTTTGTTGTGTTGTTTCTGTCTTTTTTCCCTCATAGTTTCTTCATACTAATCTGCTGACTCTTTTTTTATTATTCATTATTGAAAAGCAACCATTTCTCTTAGTCTGTTGCAGAAGATTCATGTCAGAGAGAGCCCAGAACCACGTTATCATGTTCTAGGCTGGCTGGGGTTGTTCTCAATGCACAGTTTTGTCTACATGTACATGTAAACTTTATTTCTCCCTGAAACAGCCATGACTGGTTTGCTGTGGCAACATACTGCTTCCTGCAGATGTGATTTATTCTTGATTAACCTGAGCTCTACCACTAGAAAGACCTAGAAATTTCTCACTACTAGTCCGACCATCATGTGGACAGGAGTTGTTACCTATTAACCATAGTGTAAACAGGAATTAAGGTTTTTGTACTTATAATTTTCTCCTCATCTTTGAGAACAGTTTGTGGGCTCTTTCTGAAATGTAGCGCAATGTTCTCTCACTGCTTTTTCCAGAACTTCCCCATGCTCCATCTCCAATGTTTTTGGTAAAGCTTCCTACTCTTCAGTGGCTTGAGGCTTCTGCTCTGTTCTACTTATGTCAAAGATCGGGCTTGCATTTCTGTTTCTCATTCTTGTTTTTGTTGTGTTTGTTTTGTTTTAAGCTGATCCTAGAATGAGAAATTCCCACCTTATTCCTCTATATTAACTATTGGTTATTCATATTTTAGTCAGGTTTTTCAAAACATTCAGTAATATGACACCATAGAAAACATTTTATAGAATGTCATTTCTGATTGCCAAAAAAAATGTTTTTTTCTTTGTAGATTTCAAAAGCCTGTAGCACTATAAACAGGAATATCCTGACCTCTTTAAATGAGCTTTATATAGCAAAGTAATGTTCATCTGACTTTAAGTATTATGATTTTTTTTCTCCTAGAACCAAGTGGCAAAAGCTGTGTCCATTTTTTCTCAAATCCTGAAACCAGAAAGCATAATCTGCACTAATTTAAATGTAAGTGACTTCTTCATGGTTTAAAGTGAGACTTGAATGTAATAGAGTGATGTCTAGGTTTTTGGTCTGTGAACAATGCCTTTGATTTCCAAAGGCCTTTGTTCAGCTTACTCACAGACTGAGCTTTGTTGGATGTTACAGGGTAGCCCAAGTTTCCGGGAGTTCAGAAAGAGCTGGGAAATGTAGACAGACTCAGATATGAGATGCATCTAAATACTGCAGTTCTAACATGTAAGACCATGTGGTCACAAGACTGCAGATGGTAGAAAGGTGGGAGAGAATAGAGATGGCATCTCCTGTCTCTTTACCAAAAGCTGAGAGAAGCCTGCATACTAATTGTTTTCCATCCATGGTACCTGATTTGTGGAGTCAGTTGTGCCCTGATGTAGCAAGTGCTGATGAGCAATTTTCATTCTTGGTTGTCTGCCAGTGGCGTCTGTTCCACTGAGCTGGGAGTCACCTACACTTTCCTAGAGCAATGGAAAAATATTTTAACTGAAAGACAGAAGGTCCTTTTCTTAGTGACATCATAGTCCCTACTTAGTCATCCCGTATGAGGCCTTATTTATATGCTAAGTAGATTTAGGGAGTGTTGTACTTTCCCTAATACACCCCCCCCCAAAAAAAAAGAGGAAGAAATGCCTCTAACTTTTAAAAACACAGTTTTTGAAATATCAAGGGGTCAAGATGAAGAAAGCCTTGTCAGAAAAACAGAAATGTGTATACACCAATGTGACAGGAACTGGGATAATGGATCACAGCCAGCACAGTACTCCAGGGCTGGGGAGTAAAGGGCAGGGCAGGAATGGCCAGTAACTTTGAGAAGGGCATTGTTGAGCCAGTGCTCTAAAGGATGACAGGGCTTCGGGGCCAGAGGGATGGAGGTGGAAGGGCATTTTTTATTGGGAGGTTTGTTTTGCTGAGGGTTCTGTTTAAAGAAAATAGTAATAATATCCTTTCATTAGGAGAATTGAAAAAATAATTCATCTAAAGTAGTTAACATAGTGCCTGGTATGTAATTAATATTCAGTTGATGTTTGCTTATACAAGAATATTTGTTTGAAGTAAAGTATATTAAATAAGAAAGAATATTCATTAGTCCCAATTCCTAGAACCCAATGAATAGGACTCAGACCTAACTCCAGGATTTTGGGTTTTTAGTTCAGTTTGTAGTGATTATCCTCAAATGTCACTACCAAACCAGTGCCCAGATGACTTTCAGAAGAAGGACTAGATAAGCTTTGTGGTAAATTTCAGAGAATAAGGTCTGCTAAGAAGTCCGAGGTTAAGCCACCTTATGTTTGACTATATGTGTGTGTGTGTGTGTGTGCATGTATATGTGTATTATATATGTATATGTATGTATGTATATATATATATATTTTTTTTTTTCAAAATTGTTTTCATATAAGGGAAAGATGAATCTAAGGAGCCAGAAAGATAGAGACAGTGATAACAGAGAACCTGAGCAGGTGGATGAGGAAGTGGTGAATTTGGAAGGAAAAAACTCAGTACTAGAAAAATATCCAAAAGAAGATCTTACAGTTTGTAGCTTTCATGAGCCTGGGTGGGATGTTAAAGCTGTGAGCTAAGAACTGATTTTTATAAACCTGTTAATAGACATCATAGGAACTGATGAATCCACAAAAAGGGAAGGAAGAGGATCCAGAAATGACTTCTTTTTTTTTTAAAGATTTATTTATTTGTGCATACAGAACTGGGGTACAGGCCAGAGGCTCAGGGGCGGCGAGAGGCTTCACCAGAGACAGAGCGGGGAGCAGAACAGGCAGATCGACAAAGTACACTGCTGAGGGGAGCAGCGGGTGGGTCAGGAGAGGTCTGCCACGCCATGTGGTCACCTCCGGGGCAGGCAGGAATCGAACTGATGCGGAAGTGGCTTTAGCTTCTTAGTGCTGTGCTTTAACCCGCTGCGCCATCAGGGAGGGCCAGAAATGACTTTTTAAGACATTAATAGTGAGACAGGAGAAGCCTCAGAAAAAGATGGAAGAAAAACACAAGTCATAGAATCCAAACAGGGCTGGAGCCCTGCCTGTCAGAACCTGCCCACAGCTATACCCCAGCAGAAAATGCAGGTTGGAACGGTGGGTCAGCCTGCAAGGCTCACAGCCTAAAGCAGGTCTGGGAGGCCAAGGTGGCAAAGAGTCAGAGTCCCAAAGTTCACGTTACTGGAGCCAGTAATACCAGTAAGACAGACAGACTATGTAGCCTGCGGTGCCAGCAGACAGGGTACATGTTACCTTCTCTGCTTCCTATCAGACATGGACAGCTCTGGCTTCCAAGTGGGAGCTGGTTCTGAGAGCATGCCCACAGACAGACAGGAGCCAACCTGCTGGGAACCCACGTGGTAGGGTCAGATCGGAAAAAAATACAGGAGAGTGGTGAGAGGGGTGTTAGGTGGATCATGAGTAAGTAGCTTTTCCTAGAGTCAAAGGGAGGCTGTGGGGAACCAATAAGGCTTGATGGTGAAAAATTGAAACATGAGATGGGGCAGGGTTTTAATTAATTGAACTATAGGGCCATGCTAGATACTTGATATCCATTATCCTGGGTTCATTTTTTCAACACTGACAGAACAATATTTCTCCATTTTATCAGCATGGAAGATGAAGATTCAAAGGCTGATAAGTAAATTACCTTAGTTCTCCCAGCTAATCAAGTAGCAGAGTCAGGGTACTGGTACATTCAGATCTAACTGCAAAGCCTAGGATTTCCCTGTTAATCCAGAGGAATGAGAAAAGGGTGTGTCTCTCTTACCCAGAAATGGGACTAGCTCCTCCTGAATAATGAAAAGAACAGAAGGCCGGCTGTCAAAAATGAAGTCTCTTGGCGCATGGATTCCACATCCTCAAACTCAGATTCCTTGTCTATTTCAGGCTTTGGCTGTCTCTCCCGGCTTTTAGGAGAGTCTGGTAATGATTGTTGTGTGTGTGTGTGTGTTTCAATGAGAAAGTGCTTTAGTGGAAATAAAACGAGCCTGCTGCGAGAGAACTGCCCGCAGACTAGAAGGAGAAGCCGCGGCTTAGGCGCTGCGCCCCTCCTCTCACCACTAGGAAGACAAAGCAGCCGATAATGCAGCTGTGTGGACCTGTTTCAGGCCCACACTGCGCAGGGAGCTCGGATGGATCTCCAATAGGAGTATCCTGTCCGTTCCTGCCCATGATTTGGGTTGCAGAGTTAACTGTTGTCAGGGAAATGAAAGACAGTTTTCTTGTTTAAAAATTCTCCCCCAGGAAATTCTTCCTAATGTCCCATCTCAATTTCTCATAATTCAATATAAGCCATTCTCAGGTATAACAACCTTTCAAGGTCTGGGTCTCTGTTGTTAGAGCAGGTTTTTTAAACGTTTTTTTTTTTTGTTTTGTTTTTTTTAAGATTTATTTATTTGTACATACAGAACTGGGGTGCAGGCCAGAGGCTCAGGGGCAATGAAAGGCTTCACCAGCGACAGAGTGGGGAGCAGAACAGGCAGGTCGATGAAGTACACTGCTGAGGGGAGCAGCGGGCGGTCAGGAGAGGTCTGCCACGCCATGTGGATCACCTCCGGGGCAGGTGGGAATCAAACTCATGTGGAAGTGGCTTTAGCTTCTCAGTGCAGTGCTTTAATCCGCTGCGCCACCAGGGAGGGCCTAAACATTGTTTTAATGGGTCCTAGCTTCTCTAAGACTGACGCATCTATTTGGAATCCTTAAGGACCATTTGTTAATTATTAAGAAATGGAAACCTGACAAATGGGCTGAGTAGAGTCTGTACACTCAGAAAAAAAATGAAACTCATTTTTTTCCTGATCTACTTTAAATATTAATACCTTATACTAAAATCTTTTTCTGCTGCCAAATTGAATTTGAACTTACCTAATTTCCCTGCTCAACCTAATTTTCTTTTCATCGAAATTGCTCTTGCTGTCAGTATGACCCAGAAGGCTTGATATTCCATTTTCTCAGCTAATACTTGCTACATTGCATACTGCATTGATTTAGCAGATGATCTCATCAAGGCACATTGACGATGCCCTTTCAGTCTGAATTGAAACCCATCTTAAGAACCATAGCCCCCTCGTTAGCAATGCTGCTCAGTATTGAAGGATAGATTTCCACCTCCTTATATGAAAATAGCAGAGATGATCACATGGTAACTTTCTACTTTAATTCTGATTCTATTTTAATTCTGATCATTTCTTTAGAAATCTGGCAGTCTCCAAATGGTGTCCTATTTTGAAATCAAATTACCTTGTAGGGGAATTGTCAAGTGGTTAGTTTTGCTGCTTTTATTATTTACAGATGAATGTTTAAAGTCTCTACTCACTAAAGTCACACTCAAGTTCTGATTCATGCTAAGAAGTCTTTGGACTGAACAGGTAGGAAAGAAGATAGAACTCATTTCTCATAAATTCCTTGCAACAACATCTTGTCTGTGTCTATGGTTTGAGACTATACTTGGTAGCAATGTAGACCTCAAAAAAAAAGAAAACAAAAAAAAAAACAAGAATATATATAAATTTAGAGGACTTATTTTGCTTCCATGTAGAAAACCAGTCTAGGAGGACTGGTGTGATATCCATGATATCATAGACACTGGCTTTGTTCTGTATTTCCATACCACCATCCTAAGCATGTAATTTCAATCCCTTGTATCTCTTCCAGCAAGAAGTACATAAAATAAGGGACGTAGTTGGTCCTTTTAAGGCTGATTTTCCAAACGTCTCACCCAACAATGTATACTTGAGTAATATATGCCAGAATTTAATCTCATAACCACACCAACTTGCAAAGAAACCTGAGAAACACAGTCTTTGGATTCTCTATAGCACAGTATCAATTAAACTTAGGGAGTCCTGTTATCAGTAAGTGTGGGAGAGTGAATATTGATTAGAAAGTTAACAGTCTATATCCTATTGTGATACTCTTCAAATACAGTAAACTTTCAAAGAAAAAATTTCTGCATTTTTAAGACTTCTGTTCCTTTCTTAGTCAGAGACATCCAGTGACTTTCTTAACTCTCAAAGTCAGCAGTAAGAAGTACATGTCTTTTGTATAATTTTTCTTATCAAAATTCCCCTGCTCCTTTCTAAATCAATTTTCCTAGCCCTTTGTTTGAAATCTGTAAGATTAAAGCAATATGCTGCACCCTAATTTAGCTTTCCTTAGCTGCACTCTGAGACTTCGATTTGAGACAAGCTCCTACTTTTAAATTTTTTTCTTTGCCTTTCATCAATAACTGTGTTTCTTTTCAGTATTTCAAATATTGAACCATACTCTTGAATCCTTCCTGAATCAGAAACAGTTGCTAGAGACAGGAAGAGGAATTGGGAAAACTTACAAAGAAAATTTGAACTCTTCCAGGAACGCGTCATGAATAGTGTCTAGCATGGAGCCTGAGAAAATTCTTCCTTGAAAATTTTTGAGGAAATTCTTATTGTTGAGGATCTACTCAGTGTCAATCTCAGAGTTGTAGCATTAAGTAAGGTAGACTTGCCTTTGCCCTCAATAGGACAGACCACTGCCAACCAAACCAGGGTTTTTATTATTTTTAAGAGTTCTGATTCTTGATGTTGCCAACTCTATCTTGTGTTACCTACTTCTAAGCTATGAGTTAGCCTGCCCCTGTTTCATGAGTCTGTTAGAGGCTCACAAGACACTGAGAGATGAAGGACAGGTTAGTGTGCACAGCAGTAGCAGTAGCCGGAGGATTAACATTTTTGCATCAAGTTTCTTGAACCCAGTTCCTGTAGCATGATGTAAAAAGGTCTACAAGCATAGGTGCTAAGAGGAATCTTGAACTTGGAAAACCAAACTCTCTTATAGTGAAGCATGTCTTCTCCTTGCTCTGCACACTACCTCTATCCTCCTGGGCTGTCAGTTACACAAACATCCTTGAAAGGATAGTCCGGAGTGGAAGTAGTCAGTGCTTCTGTTTGAATATGAGAAACCCAAGGAGGGGTGTGTCCCAACAAAGGAGTGCCCATGATTTCGCCTGTGCTTTGAAACACTGATTGGGCCTGCCTTTCAATCTACATAAGTTCAAAGCACCAAAGATAACCCTTCATTCTCACCTACTGCTCAGTAAACATAAATTGTTACAGAATGAACCACCGAGAGAACTTTGCTGGCTAGGTATTAAAAGGAATGTCACTTCTGAGATGGGGGGAAAAATGTACAAAATGATGTAAAAATAAACTGTTATAAAAAATTAAAAAAAAAAAAAGGAATGAAAACCACCTATTGATCAAAAGCCTTAAAATGCTTATACCAGTTGACTTACTGTTTTGTTTCTGGGAATGAAATCTAGGGAATGAACAAAGTTTTTAAATGTATACACATTTATCAACATAATAAAGCATGCTATTGTTTTATTTGATGTATTATTTTATTTGTATTATAGATAACTAATGCATTCATCATTAAAAATAAGTTTTTCTTTTCTAAAATGTCCTCATTCTATGAAAAAGTGATCATGTATGATAATTAACAAAAAACAGAATCATATGGGGGGATAAACACATTTAGAAGGTAATACATGACATTGCAAACAATGGTTAGCATTACTTGGTAAATTCTGAATTTTCATTTTCTTTAAATTTTTCCATATTTTAAAAATTGTACTATTGAATATTGATTATAAAGAGGATGGGGGAATATGTTCCTTTTTCCTGTGTTAATTATTCCTGAATATGGGGACTTACTAGTGGCATCATTTTGAAAATCTAGTATGATACCCATATGTGAAAGTTCCTTAATAGCTCAGTGTGAGTAGACTTGCCTTATTTAGACTTTAGCCAGCTTCCACTTTTTACCTGCAGCAACCTACATGTCTGTTATCTCCCAACCTAAATGAATAGGTAAATGGGTAAAGGTAAATGTATCATTTGCCATTTGCCCCAGAGTCATTCTTAGAAGATTGTGTGTCATGCCCTAAGAAACTAATAGTACTGTTTACTGGGCATTACTTCCTGTGTGCTGATATTTCATTTAGTATTCACAGTTACTCAAAATGTAGAATGGCTAGAGTTTCAAGCTGGTCACCACTGGTGCCAGGATTCCTGCCCAACTATGCAGCTCCAAGATGCAGGTTCTCCTCATTTCTACCTGTAATCAAGTTTTAAAGTTGTGGCATTTTGATTAACTATTGGAAAGCAAGTTTTGGCTGATGAACAAGGAGACAATGAAGTATTTTTTGAACTTGCACAAGCACAATTGTTAGGGAATTGCATAAAAGCAGAGTAGATATCTAAACATGTAGAATAACAGAGCACATTTCTCCATGTTGAATACTTAACTTGTCCTTGCTTCTTTATGTTTAGCTAATGATCCATGTCCAATCAAATATGTTGAAAGACCTGATAGATATACTGAAAGATGCTGCAGAAGGAAATTTATCAAAATTTGTGAAAAAACATGAGTTCTCAGAAGAAGTGGTGAGTATGAAATCGCTAGAGAAGTCACTTAAAGATGAAAGAGCACTCTTTAAAGCGTCCACTTGATTTCTTACTTCTATAGCCCACCCCCTTAAGGAGACTGTCAAATAGAAAGGCATTGTCTTTGTATTGTTCCTGTTCTAAGACTCCCATTTGTGGACACAAAAATTTTCTTCCAACGGGATATATATAGCCTCTGAAATTCAGGCAGAACTTTCCCCCACACTTTTTATGGGTCCCCGTATTCTTTTTCTTCTTTTCCTCGAACCTTCAGATACCTTCTCCCTGCTCCTTGCTCTCAGTTGATAACCTTGTGTCCTGTTTCACAGAGGAAAGAATAGCAGTCAGAACTGTGGTCACTTCAGCAGCCTCTTGCTCTCCTTCCTGTCTGCTCAGCCTTCCCTCCATCTGCCCACCTCTCTACAGTCAGCTCCCCAATTGTGCCCTGAAACTCAACCCCCCACCCTCTTCAATGCATCTGGGTATCATCAATGTCCCCTGCCCAGTGGATCATCCCCATCACCAAGCAATAAACTGTAGCATCTTTCATTTAAAAAAAAAAAAAAAGAACCCTCCCTTACTTAAACAAATGAGAAAGCATTTGTTTAGATAGAAATACTCAGCCTCATAAAGTCGGTTCCTTCCAAAGTAAGGTGGTCATGTAATATTCCAATAAAAATGCCATTAGGTTTGTTTGTTTGTTTTCCTGTGAAATAGTAGAACCAGCACAGCCTAGCAAAAGTAGCTAGGAAAACCCTATGAAAGAAGAATAGTAAGAGCTGCAGGACCTGCCAGATACTAACTATATTAAAAATTATTTATTTAAATTGTTTTTAACTCCCAGATAGGCCACCTACCGGGGTCATTGAATTTTTTTTTTATATAATTTTTTTTTAAATGTAGAGAAAGAAATAATTCCTTAAAATCAAAAATAAAATGAAATAAATGAACCCACAGGTCATAGTGATGTCTCTATAAGCACACAAAGAGGGATTATTGCAAGTCCTTTGAAATTCAATAATTTGTCCATCATTGGAAGTGTAAAACCTAAGGGGAAAAGAATTGTAAAGAAATTATAAATTATTGGCAGTGATCATATAGTTAGTGATGATGCCGGTATTGCATTTTGAGTGGAACAGGGAGCTGTTGGTTAGTCCTGCCTCCCTTCTTTTCTCCCTCCTCTTGCCTTCTAGTGCTGGGCTGGAATGGTGTCGGAGATGGCAGATAAAGGGCAAGGGGCTGCTTTCTCACCCACCCCCCAGCCCTAGCCCATTCTCTCACTTCTACCTGGTAAATGGAAAATGTCAGAAAACTAACTAGACATGAAATGAAAACATCAGATCAGAAAGAATAGACTTCTCAAATAGCAATCATCGATAGCTTCTTTCTTTTGAGGCCTTAGCTCTTGGTAGCTTGTGACCAACCCAAACCATTCTGGAGTAAGGTTAGTAACTAGAGGAGTCGAAATTAGAAGCTGAGGATAAAGTGCAGTCATGCTTGCGCCGCTTCAGTTTCCTCGGCAGCTTTGATGTGCCAGTCACCCTCGGTCCTTGTCTGGCACCCCTTTACCCCAGCAACATGACGAAAGCAGCCACACAAAGCTCACTTCGAAAAACACTGTTCATTTTTATCTGACTTTTTGAGTTTTTTTTCTCCTAAGCCTATAAGACTGATTTACTTAGTGAAAAAACTCACCCTTCAGTTCAGTGTATTCCCCGAGTCCTGTATCTCAGGGAGTGAGTGGCTGGTTGAGAAATGAATTGATTAAATATAAACCCTAGGGCCCTGAGCTAGTTCTAAATGTGTGTTTGTGAGGCTACATGTGGAATCTTTGATTATAAAACTCTGTCCTTTGAAATGCTGTATTTATTGTTATACCAGTAGTTTTGAAAACGTCCCATGTATGGAGAAAAGACTATAAACTTCCATAGGTGCTGCTTTACCACCAGAGGAGTGTTGAAAAGAATTGTTGGGTTTCCTGCAGTTGTGTTACTGAAGCCTCTCAGATACCAGCTATTTTTCACTGATTTCTTTTCTAAAACCATTCAGAAATGCAGTGTAATCTTTTCTTCTCATTGTGGAATGATTCTAATTACACTTCTGTTGTTCTTGAGTGATGTGAATATGGTGTAGACTCTGCAATCAGATCAGAGTTACCCCAGCGTTGAGTATTCCCTTTGCTTCTTTGGGGAGCCTTGGGCTGTGCATTGAGTCACAGCACCTTGAAGATGAGGACCAGACACACTTTATTTGATAAGAAGTGCTTCCCTTAATCTGATGGTTCAGCGGGGAGCCCTTGTTTCAAAGGAAGGTGTGCAGGTTGCATACAGAATTAGTCTGTCTAGAAGATGACCGAAGAATCTGTTAGGAATCTTGATTACAATTAAATTACATCAAGAAGGCTGTTAGGTTTAAACTAAGTAAGCTATTGATTTTGGTCAGAAAGTAGCAGCACATTCTCATTTTGAGATTACCCATCTTTGCTGAATTTAGTAGGCACCATTCTTAGACTTGTGACTCTAGTATTCGTACCTCTGTTCCAGACCTCTCTTCCCTGTCCTATACTTTTATATCCAACAACCTTTTTTTTAAAAAAAAAATATTTATTTATGCATTCAGAACTGGGATACAAGCCAGAGGTACAGGGGCGGTGAAAGGATTCACCAGGGACAGAGAGGACCCCCAACAACCTTTTTTAACCTGTCCTCTCAGACATTTCATAGGCGTCTCAATCATATCCAGAACAGAACTCAAGATTTTCCCTTCCGAGTCTGGTCCCCCCACCTTCCCTTGCTCGGTGAATGACACTGTCCATCGTGCAGTTGCTGAAGTCAAAATTGGAAAGATATCTTTGATTTCTCCCTTTCTTTCACCTCTTCAACAAAAAATCCTTTCAGTTTAACCTTGAAAATAGACCTCACATACCTCTACTTCTGCTTTTGATACATTTCCCAGTCTGAACCATCATCTTCTCTCACCTGGGCTAGGATGGGCTCCTCCTCCACATCATTGTCCTCTAATTCTCTAAATAGCTTTTAAACCTAAGTCAGACCATGTCCCCATTTAGACTCCCAAAAGACTTTTAGAATGAATTCCAAAACACTTTTTCATGGACTATAAAGCTCCATGTAATTTTGTCATGCCTTACTCTTGTCATGAACTTAGACAATCTTGCTTCCATTGCTCTCTGAACGAGCGCTCTCTCTCTCTCTCTCTCTCTCTCTCTCTCTCTCTCTCTGGTATGTTTCATTGCATAGTATGCTCTTTTGGACCACCATCCCCCCCCCTTTTGTAAGATATTAAATAACCTCCCTTTTACAAGATAATCAGTTAATGGTTTTCAAGTACTAATTCTGAATTTTGTATGTAGCTTGGGAATTGCTTATAGTCAGTCATTCCTCCACGGGCCTTTGCTTTCACCGTTAGGTACGCACTGTATACTTGTACACATCTATGTATGTCTGTGCTTGGAGAATAGGAAAAACAAGGAAGGAATCTTGCAGAGATATAATGATAATGTTCCTCCTGCTTTTTTCCAGCTCGCCAAAGTGAGGGAAAAACTGAAGGATGTACCCGACCTTGTGGCCAGATTTGATGAGATCCTTGGGAAACTGTATATAAATGGTCAGGTCACCACTTACACTCTGGATGCTCTGCTCTGCCACACCCCCAGGAACAGGAGCTCCCACTTGGTGCAATTAAGCAAGAGGACAATCAGCCGCCGGACCTTCCAGCCACTCAGCCAGTCCCTGTGGGCTGAGTAACCCTAGATTCAAGCCCCTTGTCCTACAGAGATGGAGTAAGCTTGCTTCTTCCTAGAAAATTGGCACAGTACACCAGTGGACATATAACAACACCTGGTCTCCTCCTTAAATCTCCGCGTTCGTGGAGTGCTGGCATAATGACTCGAAATGTGTACATGTTGTGTCACTGTGAAGGTCTAGATAAAAGCAAGCAAAACTCAGCTCCCCCAGAAAGGAGCTTTTCTCCTGTGCAAACTGCTGAGGATCCTTAAAGGAGTGTGGTCATGTCTTCTAGTCCAGCTTCCAGTACCAGAGTGGAATACAGTAAGCCCTGGAGGGAAGGAGTTTCACTGGAAGTGGTCAGCTTTAAGCTTCAAGGGAGTAGTTACTTGCAGCAAGTTACTGTTGCTCAACTTGGGAGCTCTGAAACCCTCTTCTATAATACAAAGAAACAACCCAGGATTTTCTCACTGTCATCATTTATCTGTGACCCAAAATAAAAGATATTTGAGCCCTTATCTTTCCATCTATAAAATAATAGTACCTACATGAATCTGTGCATTGATTTGAAATTTTCATTTAAGGTTTAGTAGGGTTGAATTTTTTCAAATATAAGAGCAATAAAAAGGTTCCTGAGAAAACTTGGGATTATGTTTTATTTATTTAATAATACAAATAAAACCAGAATTTGCTCTCTTGAGTGATTACTGCTTTAGTCATGGACAAATGAACCCCAACAAATACCACATTATGTACTTTGTATTGTTAACTTTTCTATGTGGGTCCTAAATAGTTCATCTTATTTGTTAATGATTTTCTCTATTCTCTCTTAGGACATTGTATTTTTCTATAAAAATAAATGTGTCACAAGAGCAGGTCAGAAATTCCTCACGCTGATCCATCATTGATGATTTGAACGATAGCCCTGGTGAGTTTGTCCTTCTCTGGGCTCTGTGTTCAAAAGAAAGTCCACAGTGACCCCTCTCTCTTATACATATTGGACGCCCCAGTAATGTTCACGGCTTTCAGCCACCTCCCTCAGTCCTTCTTCAAAAGCTATGGCTGACTTCATTGTTATTCTGAGGCAAGAATTGTTGATAGAATAATTTTAAACTCAGTCTCTTAACACCCCATCCATAAAATGATATCCAAAGCCTGGCCCTCCCTGGTGGCGCAGCGGGTTAAAGCACAGCACTAAGAAGCTAAAGCCACTTCTGCATGAGTTCAATCCCCGCCTGACCCGGAGGTGACCACATGGCGCGGCAGACCTCTCCTGACCCGCCCGCTGCTCCCCTCAGCAGTGTACTTCGTTGATTCGCCTGTTCTGCTCCCCACTCTGTCCCTGGTGAATCCTCTCACCGCCCCTGCACCTCTGGCTTGTACCCAGTTCTGTATGCATAAATAAATAAATCTTTAAAAAAAATGATATCCAAAGCCACAGCTAGTGTGAGGTGGAGCTGAGATGAAAATCCAGGTTCTTAATCGTGTGTCCTTTTCATTCTACCACATCATAGCTCCTCACAGAAGGAAAAGGAAGCTTTTCAGTGAACGAATACTAAAGATACGCACAACTTACAGGTAGCCTGGGTTCGCCTCAATTTCCTCATTTGTTAATGGACTAATAATACTTCAGAGGCTCGCTGTGAGAATGAATGAGGCAGTAAGTGTGCAGGAGGCAGAGTGTACCAGGTACAAAGCACATGCCATGTGACAATAACTACTGTTATTACTGCTAGTTGAAGAATTACATAAACAAATGACTTTCGTCCTGCTCAGAAATATTAGGAGATGCTTCTGTTTATGCTCTAGATAGTATTAGCTCCATTTTAAGAAAATTCTCTCTGCCTTCACGACTCTAATTACATCTTGTGTATATCGGGTGTTAGCAAAAGCAAAAAAAAGTCTTTGAACTTCTCTACCTCCAAAGTCTTAGGGAATTATAGGGCACACTTCCTGTCCCCCAATTTATGTCTTCTCCATGTTCACACAGCTCATTCTAGTGGCTATTACGCCCTGGTGAATGTGACCCTGGTGTTAGTGAGCAGCCTTTCATTAGAAAAAGAGAAAAGAATTTTTGTGCATAATAAAGAGCAGCGTTGCCCTTGCCAGCCCCCTGCTCCAGAAGTCTCACTCCGGTAATGAGGTGGAGAGGGAACTTTAGGGGGGTGGAGGAGGGAGAGACCTGTCCCCCCAAAATAGGTATTTCTCAAAGCTAAAAATAATTACAGAAGTATAAACAATATAGATTATATTGTGCCTCTGAGGACTTACTATTCAGCCGTTTCTTTCAAAAACGTTTCTTTGCAATTGATGATTTCCTCAATTTACTCATTCTAACATGAGAATATTTTATGGGACAAAATATCCTATCCCCAATTCTGTTGTGTGCCCTATCAATTGCTTTCACTTGCTGTAAATTTTGCTCCAGAATCCAGAAGTGAGCATGATGGTAGAGCACGTCAACAAGAGGGATAGATAAGCCTCATTACCTAGATGATAGCAGGACACACCAGAACTTAATGGCTTAAAACAACATCCCTTGGGGCCCTCGCTGGTGGCGCAGCGGGTTAAAGTGCAGCACTAAGAAGCTAATGCCACTTCAGCCCCCAGCCCTGGAGGTGACCCACATGGCGTAGCAGACCTCTCCTGACCCACCTGCTGCTCCCCTCAACAGTGTACTTCTTTGATCTACCTGTTCTGCTCCTCACTCTGTCTCTGGTAAATCCTCTCACTTCTCCTGCACCTCTGGCCTGTACCCTAGTTCTGTATGCATAAATAAATAAATATTTTAAAAAACAAACAACATCCATCATTTAATTATTTCTCATTGTCCTAGCATTTCACAGGCAGTTCTTACTGAGGGTCTCTTAATTACAGTAAAATGATGGCTGGGACTGCATCTGCCTCAAAAACTTCCTCACTTAATAATTCTGTCAGTTAGTGCAAGGGCCTCAGCTGGGCCCTGCTCACCTCCATGTGGTTTCCTCCTGGCTTAGCAGCCAACTATGAGGGGGAAAAGTGTCCCGAGACAACCAGTTAGAGCTGTTGTCACCTGTTGGGACCTAATGTCAGAAGTCACATAATTTCCCCTCAGCCACAGCTCCATCTAGATTCAGGAAGAGACCACATCTCCCACCTTTCATGGTAGGAATGGTGAAAATTGATGGATGTGTTTTAAATGACCAGAGATAGATTTTTACCTAAAAAGCTCTTTAAACTCTCTTTTTTCTTTGCTACTTTCCTAATTAAGGCCACTGTCATTAATCACCCAATTTCAACTATCCTCTATGCTGCAGCCACCATGAGGCTTCCAAGACAAATTTGTTCCCTCAGAGCCCCCTCTGAACAGAGCTCAGACTAGAATGGTTTCTAAAGTCCTTTTGTAGCCTGACTCAGGATTGCCCATCCAGCCCCATCACCAACTCCACACCTCTTCTCCCCTCTACTGATGGTTCAGGTAATAACATGACTGTATCTGGACTGTATTTTCTGTCCCACCTCCCCCTACAGTCAGTGAAGTGAGCCACCCATGTGCCCTCTATCTATCAACATTTCCATACTATCTTTGCCTATTTTCTATTCTTCATTAGATTTACATAGGTGTCTTGTCTATCTTGTGTTACCACCTAAAATGCCCCCACTATTCTTTCCTGCCCATTTTTCAAATGCCAACTCATACCAGCTCTTCCGTAAGACATTCTTTAGTTGTCACCTAAGGAGTCTCCATTCAATCAGCCAGTCTACACTGAGCATCTAAAAAGGACAAAGCACTATGAAAGCCTCTTGAGATGCCACAGGGAAAAGACATGTAAGAACCTTTTGAAAGCAGAACTTTTTAACCTGCCATCTTGAACTTCAAAACATTTTTAACTAATCATTTGTTCTTTGCTTCTGTCAGTAGTATTCATTACAGATGCTGTTGTGAAAGAGACCAATTCTGGGCAGTTTTAGCCAACAGTTTCCTTGAAGATGAGTCAAATTTTGAACTTATTCATGATGAATATTACTGGGAAATTATGGTGAGGTCAAGATTTATCTACTACAATTCAAGTAGACAACTGTAAGATCTCTTTCTTTACAAATGAACAAAATTTTTTTATGAATGCTGTTTATATTGAGACTTGAAAAAGAGGTTTATAGAAGACTTGATCATACTTAAAGGATATTTAAGCTTTGGTTTCTTTTTGACAAAAGTTTGATCTCTCGCTAATTTCTTACCCCATTATCGTAGTCAAGAGGACAGCTGAATCTAGGTTCTCAAACTTGAGTATCAGTGCCACCTGGAGAATTCATTCAAACTTATATTATTGGATCCATCTCTAGAGTTTTTGATTCCTAAATAGCAGAGGCCCAAGAATTTGCATTTCGAGTAAATTCTCAAATGCTGGCCTGAGGACTGGTTTTTGTTTTTGTTTTTGTTTTAAAGATTTATTTATTTATTCATACAGAACTGGGGTACAGGCAGAGATGCGGAGGGTGAGAGGATTCACCAGGTACAGAGCGGGGAGCAGAACAGGCAGATCGACCAAGTACACTGCTGAGGGGAGCAGCGGGCGGGCCAGGAGAGGTCTGCCACGCCATGTGGGTCACCTCCAGGGTAGGCGGGGATCAAACTCATGTGGAAGAGGCTTTAGCTTCTTAGTGCTGTGTTTTAACCCACTGCATCACCAGGGAGGGCCTGTAAGTCACTATTTTAAGAGGAGGCTTGTGTTTCTTCCTAGCACAGCAGGTTTTGGGATCCAGATCCTTTCTATGGGACCTCTCAGCTCTGTTGTGAGGAAGAAGAAAGAGCAGGAAAGTGTGGGTTTGTCCTGGACCTCTAAGCAAGCATCTGCTGTGGTGGTATATATCCCAGCAGGCCTTTCAGGGATTCATGCTGGCACCCACTGTAACTTTGTCTCTTGCTTTTATTCCGAAGTTGACCTAGCCCATGTCTCTGAGGGGAAAATGTACCAGAAACCTCTGAGTAACCAGGAATGCATAGGGCATACCAGCATGGTGGCATCCAGGCCTGTCACCTGCAGGCCTGGCTGGGATATACATTGCTAAGTAGTGATGTTCACATCCCTCATTGTTCCTGATTCTCTTTCCCCACCCAAAGTGAGGCCAAGGTGATTACCCAGAAGAGCCAACTGTCACCCTATCACTTAATCCCCCATATCTCTGTCCCAGACTGTGAGATCATCCTGTTGAATGACAGTTAACATCACAAAAGAAGGCATAACTATTACAAGGAACTGCTCTAAAACTAAGCAGCAGGATGTATCCTAATGTATCTCCCTGCACCCCATGGAGACACATGTAGCCATGAAGACTCAAGAAAATTAAGGTGATCTTTAAGTTTCACTTCAAATGCCAAAGCATTTGTTTCTCTCTGTAAGGAGCTGACAAAGTGTCATTGCCAGTTTAGATGAGCATCATCTTTTCTTTGACACAGGTCGCAGGGAATTTCTTTGCTCAGATAAGGCATTCAACAACAGGGCTTTGTATGCTAGGATTCATAAAAGAAATCAAAGAGCAAAACAGCTAGCATGTAGCATCATTCAGACCCTCAGCAAAGCACTTTGTATCTCATTTAATTCTCAGGAAACCCCCATCAGATATTATCTCATTTCACAGATGAGGAAACTGAAGAGGCTTGTTCTCAGAGGTTTAAGTTACTTGTCCATGGATGTGATAACAGGGCTTGGGGGAGCCCAGAGGCC